TTTTCCTATTTGGCGTATAAATTTTAAGGTCTCGAGGTTAGCAGGTATATGAAACCATCACCCCGATCAACGATCAGCCGCTATCAACTATGTGAGTTTGGACACCTTTTGACTTAGAATCGTATAATGATATAATGACAAACGTCACATGAAAGTTGCAAAAATAAAAGAAAGACGTTCAATGGTTGGGAAGACTCTACAGTATGTTCCTGCCGCCCTGCGCGACGGCGACGCAGCTTCAGCTCGACCCATGGAGGTCGTGCCTGCGGGCTCCTCCAGCAACGACAGCACCATCCACCCCTTAGTGAGATGGACCGTCCCTAAGCCGGAAGATGCGAAGCCGGAAGCCGGGGAATAGAACACATACACCCGCAAAAAGGAGTCATCCATAGTGAAGAATCCAAGAATCAACATGATCCCCCAAAACCAGCCTTGAGGATGGATGGCCCAGGCTCTAGTCCCATCCCATTCAACCGCTGCGAAAAGAACCTTGAGGAATACATCCCTGCCCCTCGCACGAGGGGCAGGAAAAACCACAGAATCACCGGAACAGATGGAAAACCTGTCCAGGAAAAAGAACCTTCCATGGTTGGGGAACCTGCGGAATCTGCGGATCTCCCGCTTCGAAGATCCGCAGCCGGCGTCTTTCAGCTGAGCCACTAAGCCCGGCCTGGCAGTGTTCATCGACCGACTTGGATCCTTTCTGCCCGTCACTGTCCTTTCTTTTCCCATTCTTTTTTGTTTAAGCCCAAACGCTTCAAACAGCCCTTGGTCCCTCAAAACCCTAGGGAATTGAGACCCCAAACCCCTCCATATGAGGGCCCAGGGGCGCGTCTGGGGGTTTGTTCTTATGTGATCTGTTCTGTTTCTGTCTGAATCCTCCTTTCCCACAGCGGCTCCCACGACGAACAGCGCTGAGGAAAAAAGCCATTGACTGGGAACTTCGGGCAACACAAAGCGCTGTGGCGTTCCGTCCCCCTCAAGATGTGTTTCTTAGCTTTTGAGGATTCAAACAATTGATCACAACTGTCAGTCTTATGGCCTGATATGACCTGACACATTTGTTAATCCTTTTGGGGTGTTCCTAGATGTTCATGAGCGTTTTTGGGGAGAAAATCCAAGGCCATTGAGTTTAATGGGTGCCACTAGCGAGTTGGCTTGTTTTTCAGGACTACACCCTGTCATCTTGTCTCAGCCTGATTCTGATCTTCCATCATTCCGGAACCCGACAAAGGAACGGAGTCTGAAATCCGAAGAAGGTAGATCTTCTGAGCAAAACTTGGGCGCCAGTGCGATCTACTTCTTGGAGGACGTAAAAAACAACCATGTCAACGTGTCGACCTTTGGTGTTCTGCAACATTTCAACCCATCCCAACATGTTGAACACATCATTTAATGAAATTCATAATGCCCTTTTGTTCACCCATTTAAGGTCTTCCAGCTGCTATGACCGAACAAAAACGCCTTGAACAACGTCGAAACAACGAGTCCATCCGACCATCGATGACGAACCCACGATGAAGTTAAGTAGAGAAACAACGGTGAACAGCGGACTAACAGCTGACTAACATTGTATAAGTTATACTGAAACCCGGTAAATGGATGATGGTGCCATATGTTCTGAATTGTTTTTGAGCAAATTTGCGTTATGTGGGTGGTCAACATACACCCAACTAAGTCTACAGATCACACCAAATTCCAAATCAAACATACTCACACCCACGAATCCACCACCGACCGCAAACCCGTACGCCTACACCCCAACCGTTGCGCCCCTGAAGCCCGTTTCCCCCGCGAAAAGGACTCTGGAATTCCTTCTGCAGATGTCCGAAGTACTCGGTTTGCTGTGGCAAGTGCGAGCCTTTTTCCATCTGTTTTCTATTTGGTGGTGAGGAAGCCAATCTCCACAAAGTAAAGGTTTTGCAGGTGATCCATTTTTCCGGGGTAGGACTAGCAAAATCGCCCGTCCATCAACTCAGCAACCGGGACCTCCAAAACATCCGGGTGCAGGGTCCCATGCTGCCCGCCTTCTTTCCAAGGCCGCGTGCCTCGGGGACAGTCAAGCCTGGCCTGCCATAGTGTCAAGGCAACATCCCCAAACACTCCACTTATGGGATAATGTATATATAGTTTTTATATATGTGCAAGTTTTAAACAGGCTATATGTTCCTAATTTCCCACATTGATCTCACTCACCCCAGTGTAGGTATATGACAGACATGGAGTGTCAGGGCCACGTCGGTTGCGTGCCCTTCACCACAGGGCCAGCCATCTAAGGTCAGGGCACTTGACTTCTCCTCGTTGGCCATCTTAGCCACGGCCTGAGCTGCTCTCTGATAGGCTTGGCAATGCTGACTGAAGCAAGAGGACCTACAAGTGTCCAAGCCCCGCACCTACTCGAAAACGTGACATCTCAAGGCCACCCGAATGACTGCGGGCCACCCGGCCAAAGCGGGGAGCCTAAAGCATCGCCACTCGCTCTGGAACCCCTGGCTGCCCCTGGCGGATCCGTGGGGCCCAACCGCAGGAGGCGCAGCTGGACAAGCCTCACTGAACAAGCCTCCTTCCTACATGCGGAACGCGCCTTCCAGTGCAAACACGTGCTTATGCCAACTTGCCCTGCTGGTTGACATACAGGCCGCTCTCCATTAGGTCAAAGACTCCAATGTGTGGTGAAGGTCTTCAGGGGCATGCCAGTAGGGCTCATGCACAAAGCATGTCCTGCCCGGTGGCTTACGGGTAGGCACTCTTACCTCTATCTAGGGAAATTCCGATGCCGTCTCCGCTCCTTGAAGTCCAAAAAACTCAATAGAACAGGACGTGCTTAAAGCTTCCCAACACACGCCGAAGATGAGGGAATTGTAGAACCTAACCCTCAGCCTCAGCCTCCCTGTTTGCAATTACCATTAGCCCCTAGGATTCCAACCACCACTAATTCAATTGCCTTTACAGAACAGCCATCATTGTTTTACTGAGGATTTTTCACTGCACCAGGTCAACCATTATTGGTTAATTGTCTTTGAAACCTATATAGGGCATATAGGGTATTGGCAGACTTGGCACGACTTGACTAAACGATAGAATTCAAAGGATCTTATTGAGTCTTGCTCCACCATCCAGCGTCAACCTACCCCCGAGTCAGCCCAACTCGATGTTGAGTCTTGCTCCACCATCCAGCGTCAACCTACCCCCGAGTCAGCCCAACTCGATGTGTTCCGGGATGTTCGCTCAAAGCGTCCAGGAGGATCGTGGAAAGGCTTGGCAGGACTGGCCATGCGACCACCGGAGCAACACTGGACGCTTCGCGGCCTCCCCGGACCGTGGTTTTTGGGTTGCAGTTCCCCCAGTCGCGCACCCTTCTCTTGAACGCGTGGCGCCAGCCCAGAGCTGGCGCCATCAAAGCAAAGTGGAGGACGAGTCGAGCGGAGATCTGCGCGAGTGACGCGAGTCGATCAAAGAGCATGGAGTTAACGGACGTGAAGAAGTCTTCGATGTCGAACCAACAAGTCCCCCAAAGAAACTCTCTCTGAAGTTCAAAAAGCCACCAGCTCCTCAGCCCTGCGAAGAAGGATCTGCACAGAAGGATCTGGATCGAGGGTCAAGCTGCCAAATCATCTGCAGCTTGAAGCGAGCAAATTACATCATTGACGTCCAAAAGGCATGGACCAGCTACTGCCCTTTCCAAACCATGTCCCTACGGATCCAAGTACCTTCTCAGGTACGGTGATTGGAGACACTCTTATGTGGGTTTTGAGGGTCCAAGTACCTTCTGAGAAGGTACTTGGATCCCTAGGGTGTGTGTCCATCAAATGAAAACCCATCAAGCCACACCTGGTGATCCATCTGACCTGCGGGTTAGTCACTGGCTGTGTGCGGGTGCTTTTTGATAGGGAGATCCCCAACCAACGGGGTTCTGGTAGGTTCTATAGTACTATAGCCTATAGCAAATGGTCCTTTTCTTGAGGGGGCCCGAGTGGGTCTCAAGCATTTTAACACAGGTTTATCTTATGCCTATTACCCGTCGCCATCGATGATGATGATTAGCAAGGGCATCTCTGAAATGGTGATGTTCTTGCGCGCTGACGGTGACAGGTTTCTAGGGACAAATCCAACCCATATTACAAGCACATATACCAGGACCCTCCGACCCTTGGGGTGTCCTGGCTGGACTACCCCACACTACCGGCCGTTGGGCTTCCTATTCCAGGGCACCCCAACAGGAGGGTCCTGGTATAGCACCATTCCACAAGTCCTCGTCACTGTCATTCCTTCGTTTCGGAAAGCACGGTTCCCGTCAAGACCGCACCGACCGCACCGCGCCAAGAGGCCAAGAGGCCATGGGCGACTGCACCTGCCCGATGTGAGGGGCCGATCTGAGGGTCAGGAGAGGTCTCCTACCCTCACTTTGCTCCTGGAGGCGCCTGGAGGCTACAACATGAGCTCCAGTTTTGGGGGTTTGCAGCCCAGACTTGGACGTCCAAACAGTCCGGTCCTGGAAGTGTAGGGAGCTCCAGTTCCTGGATTCAATGGGGATCCACTCCCTGCCCGCAGCTCACCAGCTGTAAGTCCGACGGTCTGACCAGGACATGTGTGTCGCTCATTGTCGCTCCACATGCTCCACATGCGCTATAAGTTCAGACATCCCCCTTCGAAAAAAAAAGCACTGAGGCTCGTCGTTCAACCCATTCTTTACAGACCCTAGGGATCCAAGGAGGGTCCAGGTGCCTTCTGAGAAGGTACTTGGATCCCTAGGGAGAATCATCTAGGACATGAGGCTTCCTGACACCTGCCTCACACGAACATCGCTCGCTTTCCACGGCCGTTTCCTTCGACCCCCCCGTCGCCTCGGAGCCTCGCGCCGTCGCCGGTTGAGCTGTTCTTGTCCCGGTCACGGTCCACCGAAACGGCCGGGGGGGGGGCGCACAAAGCGAGGAAGCGAGCAGCTCGCGCTTGTTCTCACCAGTTTCCGGTGACTTCAGATCCTTTCCGACCAGAATAATGCCATCTGATTGGTGCGTGAGCGTGTGAAAGCCTCACGAGAAAAAAAAAGAAGAGGCCTGGCATGCGGATGGCGCCAACTTCAACATACTTCGACTAGAGTATGTGGACATCACTTCCTAAGGATCCAGTCATAAAAGATACGACTGGACCCTCCTGGCACCGAAACCAGTGTCGAACACATCAGCTTCTCCGAAGGTGGATCCCTAGGGATTTCACTGGAAACCGGTTCCCCTTCCGGCCTTGCCCCGTAGAAAGGCACGCCTCGTACAAGGGCACGGTGATGCGAGCAAAGTGCTCACCCACCTGCGAAGGGCATGGTGTAGCCAAAAACCCATACCCTCCCTGAAACAATCATGGAAGTGGAATACAGCCTGTTCATAGAGGAATTCAGCCTTCCGATGGGGCCTTGTTCCACTTCCATGTTTGTGGGATGGAGGGTATCTTTTTGAGAAGAGCCGGGTTTTCTGATCACCTCTGCCTGGGCGCCAGGTTTCGAAGAACAGCCTTGCCAGGCCTTGTTCGGTTGTTGAAGTGCATGGTACATTCCGGACTCATATAGCCAGAGCCGGCAAATGTGCCAGTCCCACGGAGTGTCCTTCACGCTATGCAGCTGCCTGGCTCCCCAAAAGGTCTTTCCAAAACTCCTCCTGTTCGTCCAAAATCTGCAATCAAACGGCTGGATGGATGAATTCTCCAAACCTCTATCTGTGCAGTTGCTCTGATCTTCTAAGGCAGGTGTTCTAAAGAAAAGAAGTATCATATGAAGTATCGTCTTGGGTGAAAAACATCAGGCCCAAGTGAACCTCATCCATGTCGTCCCCCCGCAGACCCGTCCCTTTTGCGCGGACGTCGCACTTCACCCGCCTTTCGCCGGCGGAACAGCTCCATCTTTGTGGAGCCCGGGCCGTGGGCCCAAGAGGCTGAATAGGGCAGGAAGGGTTGCAGGACCAAGTTCAGTGACAGAAGTCGACCGGGGACGTCCAGTTTGGGCTGGAAAGACCTGGAGCTCATGGTGTCACCACAAGCCTCCGAAGTGAGGGCAATCTCCTGACCTGTAGGGCCCTGTAGGGTTGTGGTTCTGGATGCTTGTGGGTTCTTTGATCGGTAGATTTCACTGCGGATTCATGGGCATTTCCGCCGGTGCGGTGCAGAATCGCTGAAAACTGCATCAAGGGGCGATTCGCATCGGGCCTAAAACAGCGGGCCTAAAGCTGTTTAACTGCGCGTGCGAGGGATCCACACGGATCCACATCTACTTTCTACTTTCTGGATCTTTCTGGAATGAAAGAGTCCGAGAGGGTACCACGAAAGACACACCCTCGGCATGCAGTTTAGTGCTGTTCTGTCCTGCCCCTGCATGGACTCTCAAACATGAGCAAAGGAAGCACGCGAGAATCTCCATTTGGGGACCTGCACATTAAAACGGTTTCTGCTTCGAAAAAGAGAACATCTCCGCATGAACGTGCATGTTTCCACAGAGTGAACACTCCAACCTTTAAGGAAGTCCCACGCGCTCCCCGGAGCTACTCACGGGAGCCACCTGAGGCCGTGCCAGTAGCCTGCCTGAGCCTAGACTTAAAGGAAAGGAACGGGAGTAACTCCATTTGTTGACTACCAATTCCCTAACCACAGACTACCACTTCTCATGAACAGGCCTTATAAGATTCTTCTCGAGAAATTGTGTTTTTCATGCCTTTTCTAGATCCAGGTCTTGCGGTGGTCGTGCGAAGGTCTACAGGTTGAATGATGCGATCGAACACAGTGTCAACACAAAGCAGGTCACAGAAGTGGTGAAAGCATGTGGTTCACAAGCTGGAGTGATTGCTCTATACATGGAAGCCCCAACCAATCATGCCCCCCCCTTGGGGATACAGCAATAGAGGAGTAGATACCATAGGTATCATGTACCTATTGGTTGTTCACCACCGGGGGTACCTGTTTGGCGTCGCGCCGGCAACGCCAACATCAATACCTCTTCTTTCGGGTCTGAAGTCAAGACGTGCCACTGGGTTGACACCCCTCAGCATCAAATCAAAGTCACCCAGACGCTCCTGGACCCTCATATGGAGGGGTCGGACCCGAATCCTCTGGAGGGGTCAGGGGTCTCAAATCGGTTTTGAGGGACCAGTCGGGCTGTGAACGGAGCGTCTGGGCAAGTTGATTCCAAACACTCCATAGACTCCATGGAACCGGAATAGATGCCTCGACCCTTTTTTCACCATCCCGGGATGGCCTGATCGGTCGTCCCAAACAGATGACTGGGACTGGGTATCACACACACACACCCACCCCGGAGCGTGACCTTGGGTCCTGTGTTGACCGGAAAAACCACCGGTTTTGGCCGCTTTGCTGGGTGAACATCAAGGTCCTTGGAGATCGGATCCGATTCTTAGGGCGGGTGAGACTCCTCTTGGGCAACTTCCATGATCTCAAGCTAAGCATCGTCCGACCACGGAAAAAGGAGGTCCAATCTGAATCATGATTTCTTCTTACTGTATATACCTCGACGTGACTGAGGGGTAGGAGTTTGCCAGACTGGCCCATCCAGCTTTCGAACTCAAGCCTGGCCGAATCAGGCCTAGTCACTAGTCGTCTGCGTTCCAGGGTACATAAGGGTTCCAGGGGACCTCTCTCTTTGGACACCGCCCAACGATAAAGGTGGGATGGGAGAAAGCCTTGTTGTCGATCCGAAACAAAGGCTTGCTTGGATTTGGGGCTGGTTGTTGCTAAGTGGTGATTCAGTCAGCAAGTAGCTGGCCCTTCAGTGACGTATCTGCCAGTTCCCAATGCCAAGCCACCTAGTAGATTCGGAGGTGTCTTCTCCTCAAACGGCCGCAGTTGGTGTTCAGGATGTCCAATGGACCCGAGTTTTTGCGGGGGCAACGACCACAAAAGCTTCCCTTGGTCAGGAACAAGTCGTTCATCTCTTCTTCGCGTATTGCCTGAAACAGCTCCATCTCAGACCCAATGTCGCATGACAAATGGATACAAATGGTCTGAAGATTGCTTGACGAAAAGAACTTGGAAACGGGCACGGCATCCCTTCATATGGGGGTTGTGTGATGGTACGCTCTCCCTGGAATCATCATGGTTACGTGGATGGCACCACCTGTTTGGTATTCTGATTTGGTCATCCGAAGTCGAACCCATGCCACCTTGGCCCGCGACTCTGGGAGAAGCTGGGGCCGCACTTCAGGGGCCCTCCGGTCTCGTCCGGAACCCGCGTGCCATCGCCATGGCCACTCGCCCCCCGCGCCTGGTCCCACTGGTTTGGTCCTTCCTCAATGTACTGAGCCTGAGACTCTGAGGCTCTGAGGGCTGACCTCCCTCTCAAAAACTCTGACGGAGCCCCCCTCCGATCTCACGTACGTTCGATCTCATCAAAACACATTTAAAACAAACCATGAAATGTTTGTCTACATTTGATGACATGTTTTTACATGCAAACAATTCAAGCAATTCACATGCACAAGCAGCAGCATACAATGAAAGTTGTTGGGATTGGTACTGGCAATGGTTGGAACCTCCCCTTTCATGGTATCCTGGTTGGGGCTTCTCAGGCAATCCCAACTCACTCTCTGGCAACCAGCATGGCAACAGATTTGGATGATTTAACAAATTCAAGCTGAGCAATGACTTTGGAGATGTGGCCGCAAGATGCCGCAAGGTCTCACATTGTGAGCGAGATCAAGCCAAGCCGGTGTCTAGTGGACTTTGCCTCCAAGATTTAGTGATGTCCATTGGACACATCCCCGTTGGATGGCCCAGGGCCTCCCAGGGAGTTATTCAAGTTTGGCCAACTGGTTCTTGACACGCAGAAACCGTGCAGGTGAACTACGTCCGAAACGACCTTGGCCTGGCATGCACCTTGGCTTCACTACACCCAGCGTCATCCGGAAGGCAACGCGAGACCCCCTAAAGCAGGTGTGTCCAAGATGTCAACCAGGGGCTCCAGGGGGATGGTTCTTAGACCATAAACTGGGCAGTGAGTGGGCACGTGTACCTTCCAATAACCATCGAAGTTGGAACTGCCGCAATGTACAAAGTTTAATTTTTGTCAATGAAATCATGGAAAGCAAAATGCCTCCATTTCTGCACCAACCTCCGGGAATATATAGCTGATGAATCGTCTGAAAGGAATCTTTCGAACAATTCAAAAGTAAAGCCATCCGGATGAAACATTTCCTGAGTTCCCAGGCGATTTCCATCGTGAGATTCTCCTTTGGTCGCCGGAACTTGTGGACAGTCTCTGTGAGCTGGCGCCCGGAAAATACATTATTCATTATCCATGTTCAGTCTTAGCTTGTGACACCACGTGCACATGTCAGTCCCGTGCTTGAACCCGCGCTTGGTGGCGCGGTGCCAAACGGCAGCCTTCACATTTGGCCCAATCTAAGCGAGGTGCGCGTGATGGTCTGGTTGTCCGCCAGACAAAGGAGCGCTTCCTGTAGCTTGCTATATACTGTAGCGGTCCCATCAACGCGCCCAGCTTGCATTTTGCATCGTGGAAAAATTTGCAGCAAGCTTTCCCCCGTTTGGACTGGGTTTGTCATGGCGTATCACATATCTGCAAAAATTGCGGTGACCATGGGCACAAGGAAAGCGTAGAATAGCGCGGTTTGCCGATGTCTCTGCAGGTCTGCAGGTTATCAACTTGAGTGTGAACATCAAACAATGACTAATGAAGGGCCATCCAACATCTTCCCCCTCCTGTGTGGCAGGGAAAACAAAACAGGAGATCTTTTTGGAAACCTATGTGTAATATAAACAGATGTTTTTTGGCCACATACCTACAGGTTACCTGGGATGTTGAGGCGCATCAGTGGAAAACTGACCCAAAAACCTGTCAAGCCTGTTGGATTCGGATCCGGTGGACTTTGCCTACAAGATTTAGTGATGACCATTGGACACATCCCCTTGGATGGTCCAGGGCTCCTAGGGAGTTATTCAAGTTTGGCCAACTGGCTCTTGACACGCAGAAACCGTGCAGGTGAACTACGTCCGAAACGACCTTGGCCTGGCATGCACCTTGGCTTCACTACACCCAGCATCATCCGGAAGGCAACGCGAGACTCCCTAAAGCAGGTGTGTCCAAGATGCCAACCAGGAGTTCCAGAGGGGTGGTTCTTAGAGCAAAAACTTGACAGTGTGCACGCACCTTCCAGTGAACATCGAAGTTGGAAATGCCGTAAGGTACAAAGTTTAATGTTTGTCAAAGAAATCTGAAATCATGAGAGGCAAAAGCTGGTGCAACCCATGAATCGTTTGAAATGAATCTTTCGAACAATTCAAAAGTAAAGCCATCCGAGTTCCCAGGCGATTTCCATCGTGAGATTCTCCTTTGGTCGCCGGAACGTGTGGACAGTCTCTGTGAGCCGGCGCCCGGAAAAAACTACACTACCCATGTTCGGTCTTAGTTTGTGACACCACGTGCACATGTCAGTCCCGTGCATGAACCCGCGCTTGGTGGCGCGGTGCAAAAGGGCAGCCTTCACATTTGGCCCAATGTAAGCGAGGTGCGCGTGATGGTCTGGTTGTCCACCAGACGAAGGAGCGCTTCCTGTAGCTTGCTATATACTGTAGCGGCCCCATCAACGCGCCCAGCTTGCATTTTGCATCGTGGAAAAATTTGCAGCAAGCTTTCCCCCGTTTGGACTGGGTTTGTCACGGCGTATCACATATCTGCAAAAATTGCGGCGACCATGGGCACAAGGAAAGCGTAGAACATCGCGCCTTGCCGATGTCTCTGCAGGTCTGCAGGTTGTGTAGCACCTTCAACTTGAGTGTGAACATCAAACAATGACTAATGAAGGGCCATCCAACATCTTTCCCCTCCTGTGTGGCAGGGAAAACAAAACAGGAGACCTTTAAGGAAACCTATATGTAATATATACAGATGTTTTTTGGCCACATACCTACAGGTTACCTGGGATGTTGAGGCGCATCAGTGGAAAACTCACCAAATTACTTTACTTCGAGTGATCCCCACCATGACATTTCAAAACAACCACGTTGACATCACCCTCGTTGTGTATTTCAGCCCATAGCACAAGTCCTTCAGCGCCAAGTCTCCCTGTTTTGTCCGAAGCGAATGATTTCATCAGGAAACCTGTGCCCAACTAATATTACAACTCAGATCATTGCACCTGGGAAACTTCCAGGCCCCGAGCAGTAGTAGTAGTAGTAGTAGTAGGAGTAGTAGTAGCAGTGGTAGTCGAGTAGTAGTAGTAGTAGCAGTAGTAGTAGTAGTGGTGGAGTGGTGGTGGTGGTGGTGGTAGTAGTAGTAGTTGTTGTTGTTGTTGTAGTCGTAGTAGTCGTAGTCGTAGTCGTAGTCGTAGTCGTAGTCGTAGTCGTAGTCGTCGTAGTCGTCGTAGTCGTCGTAGTCGTCGTAGTAGTAGTAGTAGTTAGTAGTAGTTAGTAGTAGTTAGTAGTAGTTAGTAGT